CACTCAGCTGACTTCCCACTCACTGTAGGAAATTCCCAGAATCCCAAGTTCCTCCTGCAGAAGCTGAGTTCAAGGGAGCCGAGGGCCTGCGGCGTGAATGACCCTGAAACCTGCAGGGGCCTAGGGCTGGGGAGGACAGTGCAGCCCTCGGAGGCTGGTGTTCACCTTCCCACCCCAGCAGCACCTCAGGGTGCACCATCAGCTGCCAGCCCCCCGCCCGGTGGCTGTCCCAGCCCACCCAGCGCCTCTAAGGCCCCAGCCCACTACCTCCACACTCAAACTCTGCCTCTGGGGATACTCAGGGCATGGCCCATGTGTGGTCTGCTCTGGTCTTGGTCACTGAGCGTCTCTTCCAGCCATGGGGGAATGAGATGTTCAGCCTGGAGAAGACCTAGGAGTCAGGAACGGGTCCTCAGCCTTCAGACATCCAAGGGCTGCCCAGTGGGGCAGCGGGGTGTGGGGACGGTGTCCGTGGTTTCCCCAGGGGTGGAGCAGAGAGGAGTGAGGGGGAGAAGAGCATTTTCATTTACACTCGGGTGAATTGGATTCTGCCATCTTGGGGGGCTGTATAGCCCTGTCTTTGGATTTGGGGCCACCACTCCTGGCAGTGCTCGGATGCGACCCCCAGTTGTGTGTGCTCAGGGGCTGCTCCCAGTGGTTCCCAGAGACCCTGCCAGTGTCAGGAATCCATCCAGGGAATTGCACTACGCACTGGCCTGGAGGCCCTTCCCGTCCCTCCCTGGTAGTCAGGAGGTGTACGTGCGCTCGTGGCGGGAATGCCGTCAGCGTGGAGGTAGTCCCAGGGCTGCCCAGGGACCCTCTGCAGTGGGATGGTAGGAAGCGACAGGAGCCCGGACAAGAGCCGCCGGCCTCACACTAGGTCCTTCCGGCAGCCTTTGAAACATCCGCAGCAATGATAAAACGGGATCATCGTGCTGAGCTCCGGCAAGCTGACCCAGCCCTGGCCAGGCACTGGGCAGTCTTCAGGGACCAGGAGGTTTCTCTCTCTCTCTCTCTACCCCCCAGTATAGTGCCTCCGTTCCCCATCAGTCGGATGCCTGTCCCCTACTGCTGGCCATGTGGGTGGAGGGGCAGAGTGGCTGAGTATAAGGTGTCTGTCCAGGACAGGGCTGGCACACGCGGGCCCAGACCTCTCTTGACTGGAGATTGGTCGTTCAGACACCATCCTCAGCTCAAACTCTGCAGGCCCAGAGCAGCCTGGTGGTCTTGGGGGGAGCATCAGCACCTCCCATGTTCACTGGGAAAAAAAGAAGCTCTGGGTTGCTGCCTGCTGGCGTCTGGCCCGTGGCTCCTCTGAGCTGGGCTGTGTAGGCCTGAGTGGCTCCTGTCAGCCTGACCGTCCCCTCTTCTTCACAGAAAACTTCAGAGCAGAAATCAGGGCATGGCCCAGCACCTGCCTGTAAAGATAAAGGTCCTGAGAGTCCCTGGGAACCATAGTAAACGTCCTATCACGGCTCGTGCCCTTTGACCCAGGAAATGATCCGAGAGAAGGGAGAGGCTATGTGCGAGGACAGGGACTCAGAGAGGGCTGCACTCTCGCAGTGGGGAAGTGCCCACTGCCTGGGCCCCAGCCCCACTCCTCTCACCCCTTCCTGGTGGCCCTGGGCAAGTCCGCCTTCAGGTCAGGGTTGGGCTCCACACCTGCAGCCTCAGCTCTGGGCTGGCCTTCCCCAACTCGGAGCCTGTGGTCCAGTCTCCCCTCCTGAGGGTGGAGAGCTCTAGGGAGCATGGCATTTCTAAACTGGGGACTCAGGGACGTCCTATGAAAGGGCAGTGGTCTCTGCAGAGGCAGCATGAGGCTCAGTGAAGGGGAGGAGAGACTGGGCAGTGTGTGTGTGTGGGGGGGGTGTCTCGGTGTCACAGAGCTGTTCTGCCTCACAAGCGTGAGGTTGCAAGTTTGATCCCTGTGCCAGCCAGATGCATTGAATGCCATCCTAGCTGCTCTGTGGTCAGTATTTGGTCCCCAACACTTTCAGCCCTTTCCCAGCTGCATCCAGGGTGTGTGTGTGTGTGTGTGTGTGTGTGTGTGTGTGTGTGTGTGTGTCTCCCGAGCACCATCGCCAACCCTAAGGAGCAGGTCCAGGGGACAGCCCACGGTTTCCTGGTGGCATCAGGTGGCTCGTAGCTGTTTTCAGAGGTCAGGGGCCTGGAGTGGAGAGCATTCTAAGGGGCCCCTTCACACAGGACTGGAATCCCGCTCTGAATGGCAACATCACAGGGGTCTGTCTGGCTGATGCTCACCCGCAGCCTCCAAGTGTGGTCCCCTGTGTCTCAAAAAGTGGCACCTTGTGCATGGCTGCGGGACACCTCTGCTGTCTGCGTCTCATCAGATACTCAGATGAGCTGGGAGCATACCGGTGGCTGGGCCCCAGAACCAGAATCAGAGGTGGCAGCTGTGGACAAAACCTGCTTGGTCAGGCGGAGGGTCTGGGGTGTGATGGGTAAAACGTACACATAGCCCCTGTGAGATCAGTTTCTGCCACAGAGCTGGTGTGGTGGTCCCGAGCACTAGGAAATCCAAGTCTCTCTGTGTGTTTGGAAATGTCCACTTGGGACTGCCTGGCCTGGCCTGTGGGGCTGGGATCTCTGCAGGAATTTTCAGAAGAAAACATGGGAAGGACGGAAATTACCCTCCTCCTCCTCCTCTATTTTTTTTTCTCTTTCTTCTTTTTTTTGAATATTTGGGTCACACCGATGATGCTCAGGGCTTACTCTGGGCTCCTTGCTCAGAGATCACTTCCGGCAGGGGTGAGGGGACCAATACTTCCTGAAAGAAACCACATTCGGGCCAGAGCAATATTACAGCAGGGTGTTTGCCTTGCACACCGCCAACCCAGGTTTGATCCCCAGCACCCATATGGCCACCTGAGTCCCACCCAGAGAGATCCCTGAGTTCAGAGCCAGGAGTAAGCCCTAAGTATCACTCTGTATAGCTTAATAAATAAATGAGAAGAAGAAAGAAAGAAAGAAACTGTCCTCCCGTTGTTCATCGATTTGCCCAGTAACGTCTCCATTGGAGACTTTGTTGTTACTGTATTTGGCATATCGAGTACCTCACGGGTAGCTTGCCAGGCTCTGCCGTGCGGGCGATACACACACACACACACACACACACACACACACACATATATATACACATATATATCACTGTCACTGTCACTGTCCTCCCGTTGTTCATCGATTTGCTCGAGCGGGCCCAGTAACGTCTCCATTGGAGACTTTGTTGTTACTGTGTTTGGCATATCGAACACGTCACGGGGAGCTTGCCAGGCTCTGCCGTGCGGGCGAGATCCTCTCGGTAGCTTGCCGGGCTCTCAGAGAGGGGCAGAGGAATCGAACTCGGGTCGGCCATGTTGGCTGCGTGCAAGGCAAACGCCCTACCGCTGTGCTATCGCTAAATAAATAAATAAATAAACCACGTTCCCATGAGTTGTCTCTTCCCATGGCTCCCTTACCCACTCTACCACACTCCTGGGTTACAGCAGCCATGAATTGGCTCCGATTTCTGTAGACTCAACTGTTCTGGATTTTTGTGAGCACTGGTAACCAGGGGTTTGTTTGCTCAAGCAATGAAACTGCAGCTATTCCATCATCAAAGTGTACTTATGCAGTTTCTGTGACTCCTTTGTCATCTTCTGCTACTGCTTCTTATACTGCGTCTTCTCTTCTTTCTTCTTCTTCTTCTTCTTCTTCTTCTTCTTCTTCTTCTTCTTCTTCTTCTTCTTCTTCTCCTCCTTTTTATTTTCTTCTTCTTCTTCTTCCTTCTTCTTCTTCCTTCTTCTTTCTTCATCTTCTTATTCCTGCTCCTCCTCCTTTCTCTTCCTCCTCCTCCTCCTCCTCCTCCCCCTCCTCCTCTTCCTCCTCCTCCTCCTCTTCCTTCTCCTCCTCTTCCTTCTCCTCCTCTCCTCCTCCTGCTTTCTCTTCTTCCTTCTTCTCCTCCTCCTTTCTCTTCTTCTTCCTCCTCTTTCTTCCTCCTCCTCTTTCTCTTCCTCTTCTCCCTCCTTTTCCTCCTCCTCTGGTGTTTAGTATACCCTAGTTGAAGTAGGCGGCTACTCATCACTTGGTGCTTGGGGGAAGGGGGACCATGTCAGACTGAGGGTTGAACCCAAGCCTCCTGCATGCAAAATGTGGGCTCAGACTCCAACCTTGTTACCATCTCTTGGTGACTGAGTGACACTGCTGTGATTTCATGGGCTAAGGTCCTCACTTCTCATGGTCTCTGTGTTGATCTTTGTCCGGAGCTGCCAGGCCGTCCCAGGTGGCTGTACAGTTCTACATTGGCCCCTGTGGTGTCTGAGACCAAGGTCCATGTATGGACTGCTCAGTGTGTGCCGGGCACTCTGCCGGACCCTTCCATGGTCCTCCCCCCTCCATCCTCACACGAGCCTCATAAAATGCCTACCACAGTTCCATTGTGCTGAGAGAAGCATGAGACTTTAGCGAAATCCTGTGATGTCTTGATCATGTGAGAGGGCGAGGCCTAGATTCACCCCCATACCTGCCCCCTACATGTGCCATCCACTGAGTGATTGCTGACAGGCTAAAGGATCACCTGCTGAGGGTCCCACCACCACCTTTTCAGAAAAAAAAAATCACTGACCATCCCCTGGGAATTTCCCGTAAGTGAACAGGCAGAAAGTACCCCCCCCACCATGTACTACTAGACCCCCCCCAGATCCTTCCCTTTGGCCAACATTTCCTCTATGGGAAGCAGTTATATGAACAGTATCTCTCAACCAGAGGCTATATGAGCCCCCCACCCCCACCCCAGGATATTCCAAGGAGGCCACAATGAAAATCATGTCAATGGGAAACCATAACATTAGACTGAGCGACAGGGGTGGGACAACCAGTAGTGCAAGGGGGGCTCAGGAAAGAGACGAGGGGGTCCCGAATCAGAGACAGGCTGAGAAACACCACCTTGAGTCTGGAGTTGGTTAGTCCCATCCCAGCCTAACCCTCATGGCCCTGTTTCGCAGACAGGAAAGCTCAACCCCCACTACCCGAAGGTGTGTGGGCACCAGCGGAATGTCTTGGACATCAAGTGGAACCCCTTCAATGACTTCCAGATCGCCTCATGTTCGGAGGATGCCACGGTGAGTGTGGGTGGGTGAGGCATGAGGGGCTCTGGAGAGGCATGGGGTTGGCAGGGCCGGGGCTGGAGTGGGGGCGTGGGAGGGGACAGGGAGCGGCAGAGCGGCGGGGGCTGCATCCCCACCAGATGAGTCAGTGTCCTGGGAGCGGGGGCAGCTTAGGTGGAGAAGAGAAGTTCTGGGCTCTGTTCAGCTCCTCCTCTCCATGGACCCCAGTCCCCACCTTCGTCATTGGGCAGCATGGCTAGTGAGAACCCAGCAGGGTTGGTATCCGGTCAGAGTGGCCACCTTTGGGAAGAGGGAGAAACTGTTGTGAGGGGCACCTGGACTGTGGCCAGAAACTATGGGGCCACTTTAACCTTCAGGCCGTGGGTGTCCCCTGGTGCTTCCAAGGGGTCCCTTCAGGTCAGAGAGTTTTTTTCCTGCTCTGCCTTTTTCCAGGGGCCTCACTGGCCCCCTGGTGCCCTTCTGGGCACAGGAGGCTGTGCCCTGGGCCTTTGGCACAGGAAGCAGGTGACCAGTGTCCATGGAGGGATGTCCCCTGGGCTGGGAGGCACAGTGGCCCTGCAGCCCACTCTTCCGTCCCCCGGCTTACATGACCTACCCCTGCTCTGCTACCGGCCTCTGTCCCTCCTTTCGCAGTGGCCCAGAGCACGGGCTGCCTAGGGGACCTCCCTCTGCATCCAGAGTGAAAGAGGCCGTGTGGGGGGGAGAGGGGCGGGTGTCTTCGAGACCCAGCAGGGTGTGGCTAAGGGAACCGGAGCACTTTCGAGCCTGACCTGCCCGTGTCTCCTCTGACAGGTTAAGATCTGGGACATCCCCAAGCAGATGCTGGTGAGGAACATCACCAACTGCCAGAAGGAGCTGTTGTGCCACGCCCGCAGGGTGGGCCTGGTGGAGTGGCACCCCACGGCCGCTAACATCCTCTTCAGTGCCGGCTATGACTACAAGGTGGGCCTGTGGATTCATTTCCTAGCACAGGTCGGGACGTGGGGGGACTTCAGACTCCAGAAGAGGATACTCAAGCGGGTCCTGGAGGCCAGACACCCACACTGACCGCGCTTCCTAATGAGAGCCAGGGAAGACTCTAGCATCTGCTCCCTCCCACGGCTCCGCCCACTTCCTGTTAGCCACTCAGTGTGTCTTCTGGGACCACGGCCCTAGGTGGATAGATGCCCATCTGTGTGCGTACCTGGTCCAGAGTGACCCTGTCTAATTGTGACATATGCACGGGCTCTCTTTCCAAATCAGGTGATGTTCTTTTTTTTTTCTTTTTTTTTGGTGGGTCACACCTGGCTCTGCACTCAGGAATTACTCCTGGCGGTGCTCAGGGAACCATATGGGATGCTGGGAATTGAACCCGGGTCGGCCACATGCAAGGCAAACCCCTTACCCGCTGTGCTATCGCTCCAGCCCCTCAGGTGATATTCTGAGGGTCCATGTGGACATGAGTTTGGGGGAAACATCTCCAACCCTCAGAGAAAAGGCTAGCAACAGGGCCCTGCTTCAAAAAAAAAAAAAGAAAGAAAGAAAGAAAAAAGAAAACTTCCTCCAGAACTGGAGCACTAGAGCAGTAGAGGTAGGACGTTTTCTTTGCAAACCCGGGTTCAATTCCCAGAATCCCATATGGCCAGCCAAGCATTGCCAGGAGTAATTGGAGTACAGGGCCAGGAGTAAGTCCTGAACATTGCTGGGTGAGGCCCCCACCCCCCCAAAAAAAAAACTAGAAGAGCCTCCTCCTGAGGGACCTGAGAGATAGTACAGTGGGCAGGGCCCTTGCCTTGCACACCTCCAACCGAGGTTCAATCCCCAGCACTCTATGTGGGCCCCTCCCCCACCAAGGTGGCCAGACTAATCTTTGAGCTCAGAGCCGGGAATGAGCCCTGAAACAAAAACGAACAAGAAAAGCTTCCTCCTGCGCAGAGACCGGGCAGGCTGCTGACTGGAGCATCTCCTGCGGCCGGAGGCTGGAGGCGCTGCCTGACTCAGGGTGATCCCGCCCAGCTCTTCTCTGCTCCTTTGCCGTGAGGCTGGGATCAGCATGGGCCCAGGGCTTGCTGACTCTTCTGGGCACTCCACAGGGGGGCTCAGGAGGCCCAGGCTGGTAGGTGGGAGCGGTTGGGAGGGACTCACTCCTTCTGAGCAGGAGTGCTCTGTGTTTTATATGGCCACCACCAGCAGAGCTCTGCTGGGGGTAGGGGCAGCTGGTGTCAGAGCTGGTTGCAGAGCCCTGAGCTCAGGTCTGCAGTGTCCCGGGCTGTGTGTGGGGGTGCTGGGCAGGCTCGCACCACCTTCCCGGTGACCTCCTGGCTTATGGAAATGCTCTTTATTTGTGGGAGAGAGGTGTGTGTGTGTACGGGGAGAAGGGGTGTTGTCATACCTGGCCGTGCTTGGCAGGGGGCCACTCCCAGCTCAGTGCCTGGGGATTAATTCCTATAGTGCCCAGGGGAAACCAAGCAGTGCCAGGATGGTCCCTGCACCTCACTCCCACCAGCCCCTGCCCACGGGCTTTCCGGGGTCCCAGAAGTGAGCACCTGCGTGTGGGGGCGCAGGCTCTGCAGCACACTTGAGGGGGTGCTCTCGGCATCGCAGGTGGTGGTGGCAGGGATGGCCTAGGAGCTGGGCCGTGAAAGGCAGCTTCTCTGGGTGGGACGGGAAGTGCATCTGAGAACTGGGAAGCCCCAGGATGGGCGCTGGGAAGCCCCTGGATAGACCTGTCCTCCCGCCAGGCCAGGCGTGTTCTGTTGCTCAGAGGCAGATGGTGTTTTCCTGGACACAGCCTGACGTCCAGCTCCCCCCTCCAAGATTCGTGCCCCCCTCCCCACCAGCCCTGTGGCCAGACTGCCATCTGCGGCTTCCCCTGGGGAGATACAGTGTTTCACAGCAGCCTGGCTGGCGGGGTGACTGTGGGTCCCCCAGGGCAGAGTATCAGGGCGGGGGCACTGCGCTCAGAGCTGGCTCCCTGCCTCGCAGGGGATGGTCTGTTTTTGTTTGGGGGGGCCACACCCAGCAATGCTCAGGGGTTACTCCTGGTTCTGCACTCCGGGGATCACTCCTGGCAGTGCCATATGGGCTGCTGGGGTTTGAAACCCAGATAGCTGCATTCAGGGCAAATATACTACCGGCTGTACTGCTGCTCCCACCCCAGTTTTTCGGTCGTTTGCATTTCTTTGCTGTACTATTTCTTCAGCCCCTTATTTAAAATTTTTAATTAAGCACCCTGCCCCCTGTACCATCGCTCCAGCCCCAAGTAGCATCTTTATAGTAAATGACTCTTCCCAACCAGGAATATGTTGTATTTCTTCCATGAGTTCATATTTTAGGGTTTTTTTGTTTTGGGGGTATATCCAGTAATGCTCACAGGTTATTACTCCTGGCTCTGCACTCGGAAATTACTCCTAGTGGTGCTCGGAGGACCATATGGGATGCCGGGATGGAACCCAGGTCAGCTTCCTGCAAGGCAAGTGCCCTCCCCACTGTACGTCTCTCTCTCCGGCCCCGCAGGTGATGGTCTGGAACCTGGATACGACAGAGTCTGTCATCACGAGTCCTGTGAAGATGATTCACTGTCACCAGGACGTGATCCTCTCCATGTCCTTCAACGCGGATGGCAGCCTGATGGCCACCTCCTGTAAGGACCGCAAGATCCGAGTCATTGACCCTCGCACGGGGACCTGCCTCCAGGTGGGTGCAGGGTGTGAGAGGAGGGGAACTGTGGGGAGAGAGGGAGGGACTCTCTGGGTTCAGGCCCATCCCCTGGGAGCATGAACATTACATGAGTTTCGTGGACACAGCACCCGGACCTGGCATTTGTCAACCTTGTGAAGCGTCCCCATGTTCCAAAATGAGACCCCAGTTTCTGTGACTTGCCTGCCTGGGGTCTGACTTCAAAGCCTGCCCGGGTTTCTGGAGGCCTGAGGTGGGGAGGAGATATCTGGGCACCACCCTTCACCCCCTGGGTGCCCCTGGGCCGGTGCTCTGCCCTGGCCTCAGTAATCTTGAGATGAACCAGGTGATGCCCAGAGAGCTCAGAACTGGGAGGGAGTGTCCCTGCCAGAAAACAAGGGGTTCTGGGAAAGCTACCGGGCGGGAGGGGCCCAGGAGGCTGGAGGTGGGTCCCGGGAAGGCAGAGGCAGGAAGGATGGAGCTCCAGGTGAAGGGGAGCAGAGGTGAGTGAGGGTCCCTCTGACCTGTCCCTGCAGGAATCCAGCTACAAGGAGCACCGCGCCAGCAAAGTCTTGTTTCTGGGAACCCTGAAGAAGCTCTTGTCCACAGGCACCTCCCGATGGAACAACCGACAGATGGCCCTGTGGGACCAGGTGAGTCCCAGCGTCACCCACCTCTGCCCCCACCATCACCCCTTAGGCGAGCACAGGCATGCTTCACACACTCTCCCCCTCACTCATTCACTCATTCACTCTCTCGCTCACTCATTCATTCACTCATTCACTCTCTCGCTCACTAATTCATTCATTCACTCTCCTCACTCATTCATTCACTCACTCACTCTCTCGCTCACTCATTCATTCACTCATTCATTCTCTCGCTCACTCATTCACTCACTCATTCACTCTCTTGCTCATTCATTCATTCACTCATTCACTCACTCATTTACTCATTCACTCACTCACTCACTCATTCACTCATTCACTCTCTCATTCACTCACTCATTCACTCATTTGCTCACTCATTCATTCACTGTTTCACTCATTCGCTCTCGCTCACTCATTCATTCACTCATTCACTCTCTCGCTCACTCATTCATTTGCTCATCTCACTTTTTCACTCACTCGCTCACTCATTCACTCTCTTGTTCACTCATCCATTTTCTCACTCACTCATTCACCCTCTCACTTTTCACTCACTCATTCACCCTCTCACTTTTCACTCACTCATTCACTCTTTTGCTCACTCATTCATTTACTCATTCACTGTCTCACTCACTGGTTCTTCACTTGCTCACTCATTCATTCGTTCATTCACTCACTCACATATTCACTCTCTCGCTCACTCGCTCACTCACCCATTCCTCAAGCCTAAAAGCAGGGCGCTAGGGATACCCAACAAGGAAGCACTGACAGCCCCGTGGGACAAACCCAGACGCTGTGTGGCTCATCTTTCAAGAAGGAAGAGGGAGCCGGGCCCCAGGAGAGGATCAACCCCCCTCATTATGGGAAGGGGAGGCGATGGAGTTAGATGGGGAGCGGGGAGGGGGCGTGCGGAGAGGCCCCTCTGTGCAGCCTGAGCAGCTGGAACAAAGACTGGGAACGCGATCCAGGCGGGCAGGAGAAATGGGCCCCACAGGGCAGCTGAAGGTGGGGTCGGGCGAGGGCCAGACCAAACAGTATTGATTTGGAGGAGAACTTGGCAGCAGTCGCACAGATTAAACCAATGGTTTGCACTCTCTGAATTTCCCTGCGCATGCATTACAATAAATAATAAAACAGGCGGGGGAAGGGTGGAGTGAGGTCAGGGCAGCAGGCGAGATAAGATAGATGCTGGCAAAATACATGGTGAATAAAGAATAAAAGGAAAAACAAAATGCTGGCGAAAGGAGGGTGTTGCTCTCCCTCTCTCCTCTCTCTCTCTCTGTCTCTCTATCTTATCTCTCTCTGTCTCTCTCTCCTCTCTCTGTCTCTTTCCTCTCTCCTCTCTCTCTGTCTCTCTCTGTTTCTCTCTGTCTCTGTCTCTTTCTCTCTCTCCCGCCCCATTTCTTTGTCTCTGTCTCACACCTCTACATTCTCTCCCTCTCTCTCTCAGTCTCTGTCTCTCCCCCCACCTCCAGTCTCATGCAGGAATTCTGTTTTTGCAGGGGGTGTGAGGGTGTGGGTGGGAGTCTTGGCCAACAGGCCCAGGGTGCTGGGAGGGGGGTGTTGAGGGAACGTCTGGGTGCCAGGAGACCGTGCGGTGCCTTGGGCTGACGCCCATCCCTGCGGCCGGCCCTCTCCCTTGCAGGACAACCTGGGCATGCCCATCGTGGAGGAGGACCTGGATGGTTCCTCAGGTGTGCTGTTTCCCTTCTTTGACGAGGACACCAACATGCTCTACATGGTGGGGAAGGTCAGCCTGGCACGGGAGGGAGGCAGCGGCCCGGACCCCGAGCCTGACCCCGCAGAGCAGGGCCCTGGGGACTAGGACAGGGCAGGAAGAGGCCAGTCTCAAGCCAGTCCTGCTGTGACTAGCCCAGCGCCCCTTCCCCATCTTCTGGGCTCCCCCAAAGCACCCAGGGCTGGGGCCAGAGCTCATGTTGGACACCCCAAGTCAGTGCCTCCCCACAGAGGGTCAGGTGAGAAGGGGCCCGCCAGCGTTTTTCTAAAGGGGTCACCTTCAGACTGGAGGCAGCCAGTGACCTGCTGGTCACGCCCCACACACGCCCCCCCCCCCTCCACCCAGTCATTATGACCCCACAGCACAGAGACCCCCCCCAGTACCCCGCTGGGTCACCTCAGACTAGATCACCTCTGACCCTCTCAGACGTACGGGGGGCTCCCATCTGTTCTGCCTTGGGCTAAGGGTAGGTTTGGGGCCCTAACTGGGGATCTTACTGCAGGGACCACCCCCCATGCGACCTAGTGTCCCCTCGTGTGTGGTGGTTTGGCCACTTCCTCCCTCTCGGTGGGACTTCTGTAGCCTTCAGTGGGGGACTGGTTGGAGGTGTTGGGGGGGTGCTGGTGGAAACCAGCTCTAAACGGACCCCTACACTCTTTAGGGAGATGGGAATATCCGCTACTATGAGGTGAGCGCCAACAAACCTTACCTCAGCTACCTGACCGAGTACCGCTCCTCCAATCCACAGAAGGGGATCGGTGAGCAGGGGCCCCAGGGCGGGTGGGCGGTGGTGGGAAACAGACGGGCCATTGGGGGTCATTGCCTTCATGGGGGCTCAGAACAAGGTGTGCAGGAGGGTGTCTGGGAACCCCAGGAGGAGGTCAAGTAAGGCTTCTCAGAGGAGGTGAGCACTCAGCTCAGAGGGAGGATCAGTATGGAGTCGGTGTGTGGGTGTCAGGAGGACAGAAACCACTGTCTAAGCAGCCGGAGCAGGGGAATGAGATAGATTAGCCCGAGAGCGCCCCTGGAGTGCGTGCCCCACTGATTTTTTTTATGAAAGATGATGGGGAGGGGGCTCCTCCGTGGTAGTCAGAGGTCTCAGGGTCTGCTCCTGGCCATGCTTGGCCAGTCTGGCTGGGAGTTCAGTGCGAGGCCCTGAGGATGCCAGGCTTCTCAGGCCCTGCGGTGCCCACCTGGTCCACTTTGACAGTGCTTGGGGGCACCTAGAGCTACAATGCTCAGGGGACCATGTGGTGCCAGGGATCAAACCCAGGTCAGCACATGCCAGGCCTGCGCCCTGACACTGTACTCCTTCCCCACCCCTCCCTCCATTGACTGGTTTTAGGGTTATTTTGGTGGGGGAGAGAGTTTGTTGTTTTAAGTTTGGGGAGGTTTTTTGTTTGTTTGTTTTGTTTGTTTGTTTTTCCACACCTGGCAGTGTTCAGGACTTACTCCTGGCTCTGCACCCAGGAATTACCCCTGGCGGTGCTCGGGGACCATATGGGATGCCGGAAGTTGAACCCAGGTCGAACCCAGCCTTCCCCGCTGTACTGTTGCTTTGCTCCCTCCGCTGACTTTTTAAGTTCGAGATTAAAAATTCAAACCAAGAGCTGGAGGAATAGTATAGGGGGTAAGGCACCTGCCTGGCATACGGCCAACCCTGGTTTGATCCCTGACACATTTTGTCCCCTGAGCAACACCGAAAGTGCTGCTGAGCATAGAGCCAGGAGTGAGCCCTGAGCATCACCAGGTGTGCCCTGAACCCACCATCCTCAAAAAAATAAATAAATAAATAAGACCCAACAATATGTGACATCTCCAAGGAACCACCCAGATGTGGCTGGATGAAAGCGAAGGGTCGGGGGTGTCACAGGGGTCCTCATCAAGACAGAGCTTGAGCTGCTCTATAAGGCATGGCAGGGGGTGATGTGGGTCTAGGCACAGCCCCCGGAAGAAGTCCCTGAGAACAAGGGACATCCTTGAAGGTGGTGGGGACAGGCCAGTTGCCTGCAGGCCCTGCCCCATGGCAGCGTTTGCTGAAGAACAGTTTGTAGGTGGGAGGAGCAGGTGGACACTGTGGGTCCAGGCCTGCAGCCACCCCCCCCCCGTCCTATCCCCCCTTATCCCCCCTGCCCCTCCGTGGCCTCCTGCCCGCAGGTGTTATGCCAAAGAGAGGTCTGGACGTATCTTCCTGTGAGATCTTCCGGTTCTACAAGCTGATCACAACCAAAAGCCTCATCGAACCTGTTTCCATGATCGTACCCCGCAGGGTAAGGATGAGGGGGCGTTCCGGGAGGGAGAGGAAGACCCTTCCCAGAGACACTTCCCTGGCCTCTCAGTCCCTCCGGCATCCCCCGAGGCTCTCTGGGGGCCTGGGGCTCCTCACCTAGGGAGCCTGGTGGCCTGGTTCTCAGGGCCCCCCTCTCCCTGCAGTCGGAGTCCTACCAGGAAGACATTTACCCGCCCACAGCAGGGGCACAGCCTTCCATGACGGCCCAGGAGTGGCTCAGCGGGATGAATAAAGGTGATGCAACAAAGGGGCAACGTGGGGGTGGGGGGCCATGGGGGGATCAGCACAATGGAATGTCCCAGTGGGCCTAAGTGACAGAGAAGGGTCCGACCTGCATCTCTCTCCTCCTGCAACTGCAGAAGCAGGCCCCTGGAGGTCAGCTCCTGTGGGCCCAGGAAGGGACTTTTCCTGGCCGCTGTGTGAGTTCCCTCCACCTCAGGGGGGGTCTGTGCTGGGAAACTTCCTTCATCCCTTCATCCCCTTCATCCCCTTCATCCCCTTCATCCCCTTCATCCCCTTCACAGCCCAGTCTGCAGAGCGACTAATACAGCAGGGAAGGCGCTTGCCTTCTCTGTGGCAGACCCAGATTCTATCCCTAATGCCACAAAGTAATACCAAGATGAGAATTTTATAATGTATGAACACATGAGCATCTATGATTTGAAAATGAAAATAAAATGCCGCTGAACTGGGGCTGGAGCGATAGCACAGCGGGTAGGGCATTTGCCTTGCACACAGTCAACATGGCCGACCCGGGTTTGATTCCCAGCATCCCATATGGTCCCCTGAGCACCGCCAGGAATAATTCCTGAGTGTATGAGCCAGGAGTAACCCCTGTGCAATGCTGGGTGTGACCCAAAAAGAAAAAAAAAGCCTCTGAACTCCACAGTTGAGTGGGGAGACTGGACAGTTTCAGCCCCCCGTCCATTGTCCCGACCTCTCCCTGGGCTCAGTCCACTCCACTGCCCTGACTCAGTTTCCCCTGCCAGTCAACCTCAGGACTGGCTCAGGGGCAGGAGGGACCAGCTCTACTAGCATCGCTGGACCACCATTTCCTATATGCACACACTTTGTGATGATTTGGAGCCAAGAGCAGTGTGGCGGGTGGGACTGGATTGTCACCTCAAAGCTGAGGACAAGGGGAGGGGGGCGGGGGGATGGGAGGGCCACTGGGATCATTGGTGGTGGAGAATGGGAACTGGTGGGAGGATGGGTACGCTATCATTGTATAACTGAAACCCAAGCGCAAAAGTTTGTAAGTCTACAACTGTACCTCATGGTGTTACACTAATTAAAAAAAAAAAAAGCTGAGGACAAGGCCTTGCCCGTGAAGCTGGGGGGAGAACTCTAGGCCCTCCATGGTGCAGCTCCAAGCCCGGCTTGGTCGCGAGGATCAGAGGGCATCTCGGGGTCTGTGTCTGTCAAGCCTCAAGCCTCACGCAGCCCTGTACTGTTTCCTTCCAGGGCCCGTCATGGTATCCCTGCGGCCCGGCTCTGAGCCGCTGAACCCCCAACCCCAGCCCAGCCCCCAGGTGGTGGCCCCACAGAGACCCACCTCCAACCCCATGTCCCCCACCTCGCCCCGGCCCCTGGGCCACACGGAAAAGCTGGCCGTGGACGATGGTTGGCGGCTCGGCTTGGGGGCTATGGACAAGATGCCCCAGAGGGACATGGAGCAGCAGGTGGAGGAGAGGAAGACCTGGATGATGAACGGCACGGACATCTTCGACTACCCGCCACCCAGGACGGAGAACGAGGTGGGAGCAGGTGGGGGAGGGGCAAGGAAGGGTGGTGGGCGACCTGCAGAGCTAGCGGGGAAGAGACGCTGGGGACTGAGATCACCCCTGTGACTGCAGAGCTCTGGCCTGGGGGCTGTAACCACAGCGTGGGAACTCTGGTTTCTGATTCTAGTATCTCATCTAGGGGCTAGATACTAGTATCTAGTATCCCAAACAGCTTAAAGACAAACAGTCCTGGGGCTGGGGTGATAGCACAGTGGGTAGAGCACTGCCAGGAGTGATCCCTGAGCATAGAGCCAGGAATAAGCCATGAGCACCTCCGAGTGCAAACGGCCAACCCGGGTTCGATTCCCAGCACCTTATATGGTCCCGTGAGCACCGCAGGGAGTAATTCCCAAGTGCAGAGCCAGGAGTAACCCCTGTGCATCGCCAAGTGTGACACAAAAAGCAAAAAAAAAAAAAAAAAATCCTGATATCCTTGGGTTTTCTGTGCTTTCAGAAATGACATTTGGGGGCTGGAGCCATAGCACAGCGGGTAGGGCATTTGCCTTGCACGCGGCCAACCAGGATTCAATTCCCAGCATCCCATTTGTCCCCCGAGCACCTCCAAGAGTAATTCCTGAGTGCAGAGTCAGGAGTAACCCCTGTGCATCTCCAGGTGTGACCCAAATAGCATAAGAAAAAAAAGAAAAGAAGAAAGAAAGAAAGAAATAGAAAAAAGACATTTGATTTTTGTAGACCACCTTAGTAGTGATTGTGGGGGTAGGGGGGTCTCTAGGGGGCAGGCCGTGCCAGGGATCAGGCCTGGGGTCTAGCAACCCTATCCTGAGCTCTCTGCCCTGCCGGTGCCAGCATTTGTGACGTGCTCTTGTGTGTCAGGCCTTGTGGGATCTGATTGACCCGACAGCTTCTGGCTCTGCTAGGGACTGGCGGAGGACTGTGTCTTCTTCTCCCTAAGGACCTCCTGGTGAAATGGGGACACAAACTCTCCCACCCTCCTATCTAGAGATGCTAGAAGCACCTGGTGGAAGGTCTACAGGGACCCCCAACAGTATTAGCGATTCTCTGCAGTGGCAGCGGTCTTGAGAATGCTTGATCATTTCTTTTCTGACCCCCAATTCCTAGAGAAAGGAAACCAAGACCCAAGAAGGCAAGCACATATAGTTTAGTGATGGTTAAAAAACTAAATCCAGGGGCTGGAGTGGTAGCACAGCGGGTAGGGCGTTTGCCTTGCACACAGCCGACCCGGGTTCGATTCCCAGCATCCTATATGGTCCCCTGAGCTACTGCCAGGAGTAGTTCCTGAGTGCAGAGCCAGGAGTAACCCCTGTGCATCGCCAGGTGTGACCCAAAAAGCCAAAAAAAAAAAAAACCCACAGAATCCAGCCACACTTCAGGGCCAAGTCGTCTTTCCTCTGTGCCCCGGGGGAGGATTTAAGGACCTAAAAAAACAATGCCACCTGGGGTGGGCTCAGAGAGAATTCTGAGCCGCGGTCTCTGCCCTCCTGCCTTCTTGCTCTTCTTCCTCAGTGTCAGAGGTGAAGGCCCAGGTTCGATTTCCCACATAAGGCCCTGGTGTGGCCTAAAAATAGAAGGGGGTAGGGTTGGGAGTCACCGTATCTGAGCAAAGCGATAGTACAGCGGGCAGGGCGCTGGCCTTGCACCTAGCTGACCAGGCTTGGGTCCTCCGCATCCTGCGTAGTCAGTCCAGTGAGCACTGCCAGGAGTGATCCCTGAGCACAGAGCCAGGAATAAGCCATGAGCACCTCCGAGTGTGATCCAGAAAAAAAAAGAAAAGAAAGTTCCAAGGGATGGGTGTACCACCCTCCCCCCCCCAAGCCCCAGCCACTTAAAGTGACACCGCCACCTTTTCTGGGCCAAAGGGAGCACTGTTATCTCTCCTGGTACAACTCGCCCCATGACCACCTTCCTTGTGCTTTGCTCCCCCAGCTGCGGAAGATGTTCTATAAGCAACAGGAGGAGATCCGGCGGCTCCGTGAGCTGTTAATGCAGCGCGACGTGCAGGCCAGACAGCTGGAACTGGAGATCAAAAACCTGCGCACCGGCTCGGAGAGGTTCTGAGCAGAGGTCTCTGCCCTTCTGCCTCGGACACCACTGGGCTTCCCGGGTGCGGGGGAGGGGGCAGAACCCAGCCCCCAGCCCCTCCCAGAAAAATCGCCCTCATCCTCATTTCTATTCTTTCTTACCAGAAAACGAAACCCTCAGTCGCTGAAAGATTCCCATGGGATGCGGTGCCGGTTTTTCTATTTGCCTTCTCGAAACAGCAGTTTCTGAATTGACTCTAGATGAGAACCTTGCCGTCTGTGGAATTCTGTCCTGGGTGGGGCGGAAGGGTGGGGGGAGATGGTGTTCAGGGATGAGCTTGGCTTCTAGAGGTGGGGGTGAAAACTAGAGTGACGCCGAGCTGGTAGGAATGGGGGAGACCGTGCGGGAAGACTGGTCCCCCCCACCAACCCCGTTCCCGAACCAGACAGCCCCCCCTTCTTTCTGTTGATTGGCATCTCTGGAGTACATCATTCTGCTGAGCCCCTCTTCCCCAACAACTCCCTTTTGTTTACAGATGGGGAAACTGAGGCACGGGGCGTGGCCAGAGAGTTCTTGGCCTGAGTCTGGGCTTGGCCATTCTCGGACTGACCCGTCCTTCCAGCTGTGCCCCTGGCTTGCCCGGTGCTCTCCGATGAAACATTTCCCCCTTCCGGGCTCCCGCTCTCCATCTCCCCACAAGGGTGGGGGTATGGGGGAGAGGGTCCCAGAGGTGCTGCTCCCTACAGGGTCTGCCCCCGACCCCGAGAACCCTGGACCTGGACCTGATGGAGTTTACCTGGAGGCCAGAGGAGCTGAGCTCACAGCAGGATCTCACAAGCCATGAGCACAGGGGCCGAGGGAAGCTATTTACATCAGGGAAATGAGTGGGGGTCCAGCTCAATTCTAGAACACAGACAGCCCCCAAGCGCCCTTTCCTCAGCCCCAATCAGCTGGGTGTAGGCAGACCCTGTCCCTTCTGAGGGGTGTCCCGGATCGTATCAGACGCTCTGGGATTTAACACTCCTCCAAAACCGAGGTTGCCCTCAGGGCAAACACACCTGCAGTGGCTCTCTGGAGGTGAGGAGCGGCAGAGTCCCCTGAGTCCCCAGCTGGCCTTCGTGTGCCTGTGTCCCTCTGTGACGAATCTCTGCGACTCTTCCATGGTTTTCTTTTTCTTGGTGTTCAGTACCAGCTAGAGGTGGGGGGATGACTAGAAGTTAAATGCACCCCCTCCCAACTCAGGGTGGTATCGGGTGATGCTGGAGCCCTGATTCTGGAGCGCTGGGGACCCCAAATCCTGGCAGGGTCCAACTGAAGAAGCTTCAGCCCCCACCACCACCCCTGCCCCCGCTATTGGTGAGGACTCCCCAAAGCAGAGCCTGGTCTTGGGGATGGTACAAGCTCCCAGGCGATGCCCAGGGCTGCGAGGATGACCATCCAGGGCTCCTCCATCTGTCTGTTTGCAGTGAAGATGGAGGCCAGTAGGAGGCGGTGGAGCTGAGACTCCAACCCAGGGTCTAAGACCTGCCTGGGGAGCCCTGGACAGAAGAGTCAAGAAGTTTGCTACCAAGTCGTCCCCCTAACCCACCCCCTGCCCCAGGTCTCTGGGTGCTCTGGCTGCAGTAACACAATTGGAGTTTTGTGCCCTTGGCTGCCCCCTGCCCAAGACCATGGCTGAGTTCCCGCCTGCCAACGCACCAGCCACCCCGCTCCTTCTCTTAGCCTCTCTCGACTCCGTCTCGGGAACTGGCCAAGCTCGCCAAAGGTCAAACTCCAAGACGTGGTCGGGGAAGCGGGTCTCAGGCCGAGGGGGTCCCCTCTCCTGCTTCTCAGTTTACAGTCCCTCCACCACGCTCGCCCTGCAGGATGGCCAGGGTGGGAAGGGAAGGCCTGGCTTCCCAGAGAAGAGGCACCATGACCAAAGGCACGGACTGCCAAGGGGTCCCCAAGGTGGAGTGGGAGGCAGGGGACATCTCCTCAGAGTACCCACCCGCAACGGGATCCAGACCTCATGCTTCTTAAAGACACTACCCAGACATCTTTGAACAAACTTTTTCTTTTTTACATCTAGAATAAATTACTTAAATTATTTTACAACATGGGAGAGGGGTAGGTAGCCATTAAATTTTTTTTTTTATGTTCCGAACTGAGGAAGTCGATCTTACCCAGCATTTGACTGGTTGAGACCTCCCTGTAAGATGAGCAGAGGGTGCTCCCCTCCCTTTTCTTCATAGCCTGGGACACCCCTCCTTCCCTCCCACCCCCCACCCTGCCCCTCTGCTGACTGCTGACTCAGGAACTTTCTGAGAATGAAGACTGAATTGGGAGATGAGTTTTGGGGTGGATCCACCTTAGCTCTCTACAAATAATTATTCTACCTGGAACAAAACTTGAGATTGTATCATAGAGGGAAATAAAAAGTTAGAAATCAATCTATGCTTTTCATATGAAACCGTGCCTGAAACTGATTGGTTCAATGTTTCTGTAATTCCTTGAACCTTTGTAAAAAAAAAAATAAAGTGAAAATAAATATGGAATTGTGCAATGCAAAGAATGTAACAAGATAATAAACGCCTTCCTAGACCTTTTAACATAAGCACTTTGCGTGTGGTTCCATTTACAAATAGCCGTGAAGTACTTCCTATTTGAGGCCAACATCTGGATGGGAAACAGCAGTGCTGGTTGGGGAAAGGAGCAAGTTAAGGGGAAGTTAGGGTGCTCCGGGAGGGGTCTCCAGGAAGACTTCCTGGAGGAAGTGGTATTTAGATATCAACCAGAGGGACACATTGGACAAAAAGGCACAGAAGGGTCCTCCAAGCAAAGAAAACACTGTTCCTGATTTGGAAACACCAAAGGGTGAAGCATAGAGCAGAACCCACAGGTGTTAAAAGACAAGAGGCTTAGAAGTGGGAGCTGAGATTTCTTTTTTTTAATTTTTATTAGTGAAACACCATGAGGTACAGTTGTAGACTTACAAATTTTTTTGCTTGGGTTTCAGTTATACAATGGTCGAGTACCCATCCCTCCACCAGTGCCCATTCTCCACCACCACTGATCCAGTATCCCTCCCACCCCCCATCCCCCCATCCCACCCTGCCTCTGTGGCAGAGCATTCCCTTTTTGCCTTGCATATGGCTGATTCAGGTTCAATCCCTGACATCTCATATGGTCCCCCGAACACCACCAATTCCTGAGTGCAGAGCCAGGAGTAACCCTGGCTCTGCACTAAGGTTAGTAAGGCTGTGGTTTGCAAAAGAGGCATTGAGTGGCAATCATGTTCGGTCTATAGTTTACTTTCAGCATGCATCGCCCATCCTGGGAGGATCCTCCCAACACCCTTTATTTGGTGGGAGCTGAGACTTCTTTGGGGAGAGCTCAGGGGGCTGGGGTTCCTCCCAGCAAAATTTAGCCAACAAGTTGATTTGTCTCCCAGTACTCAGCCAGTTTCCAGTGCTCATGGGGTGCTCAGCAGTGTTTGGCAGCCACCAGCATGGGGCTTAGGGTGCCCCAGTGCCAGGGATGGAACCAGGGCCCCACATGTGCAAGGCATGTGCCCTAACCCTTGTGCCATCTCCATGGCTCTTTTCCAGCTTCATTTAGGTCTGACTCACAAAAATTGTATCAATTAGGCTGTATTACCTTTCTTGTTGTTTGTCTTGTTTGGGGAGCCACACCCAGAGATACTCAAGCCTTACTCCTGGCTCTGTGCTCAGGGATCACGCCTGGCGGTGCTTAGAGGACCACAGGGGATGCCAAAGCCGGGTCTACCACTTGCAAGGCAAGTGCCCTTCCCTCTGGACTGTCTCTTCAGCCTCAACATGTGCTGCACAAGGGCTCCATCTAACATGTTAGTCTGCCGTCATGACCACAATCATCACTTCACAGTTACCATTTGTATGTATCCGTGAGGGGTAAGAACTCTTATCAGCTCAGACTGGAAATCAAGTCTCCAAGTCACAGTAACTAGTCAATTCATCACCACATGTTTTAGATTTACAGAAGATCACTATCATGATCATCGTGTTGTTCATCGATTTCCTCGAGCAGGCACCAGTAACGTCTCCTACTTCCTAGCCCTGAGATTTTAAAAGAGCCATTTCAATGCTCTTTCAGGATTAGGAGAATGAGTCCCATAATTGTTACTGGTATTTGGCATATTGAGTACGACACGGGAAGTTTGCCAGACTCTGCTGTGCGGGTAGGATACTTTTGGTAGCCTGCCAGGTTCTCCAAAGGAAAAAATAAGATGTTGCGCGGCAATGCGACCGCGCGCTTCTGGGAGCTGGGTTTTATAGTCTCTGCGTCTTGGCCGTTGATGGCAGCTGGCACTGATGGCAGCTGGTGGGTGTGACGCCTACCTACTGGAAGATGGGGAGGGGGGGTCTGGGTGGAGAAGGCCCTGTCCCAATCCAAGTAGGCTTGGAGACCTCAGCCCCGGGACCTGCATGCCTGGGTTCCTCTGCCAGTTCTTTCATGCATGAGGCCCGTCTGGATGTGTGGAGAGTGGTCCCAGCATGGCCGTGGCTGGCTCTGGAGGTCCTCAGCTGGTGGGGCTCTGCTTGGGGTGGGGGGGGGAGAGAAACTCAACCCTCCCCGCTCTAAGGAGCCCTGGTGAGGACAGCCAGGCGCGGGGGCAGGAGACTCTGCGCTGTTCTCCTCTGGGAGCTGGGTTTTATAGTCTCTGCGTCTTGGCCGTTGATGGGACCAACCTGGCGCTGGTGGCAGCTGGTGGGTGTGGAGCCTACCTACTGGAAGATTGAGGGGGAGGGATCTGGGTGGAGAAGGCACAGTCCCAATCCGAGTAGGCTTGGAGACCTCAGCCCCGGAACTCACATGCCTGGGTTCCTCTACCAGTTCTTTCATGCATGAGGCCCGTCTGGACGTGTGGAGAGTGGTCCCAGCATGGCCGTGGCTGGCTCCGGAGGTCCTCAGCTGCTGGGGCTCTGCTCGGGGTGGGAGTGGGGGAGAGAAACTCAACCCTCCCCGCTCTAAGGGGCCTTGGTGAGGACAGCCAGGCGCGGGGGCAGGAGACTCTTACAGAACATATACATCATTATTATTATTTTGCTTTTTGGGTCACACTTGGCAATGCTTCAGGAGTTACTCCTGGCTCTGCACTCAGGAATTGGTGGTGTTCGAGGGACCATATGAGATGTCGGGTATCGAACCTGAGTCAGTCATATGCAAGGCAAAAGCCCTATCTGTACTATTGCTCCAGCCCCAGAACATATATGTCTTGCACCAAAAGACTCCCTTCCCCACCCCTACCCTCTCA